TTGATAGTAATTCTTAACTCAGAGCCTAAGCATATCTAAATCATGCAGAGTCGGAATGTCAATGGGCGATTTCTCTAGGGGTCCAGTTGCATTTCTGATTGTCAGATTATTTGGCATTACAGAAAAATGAGCAACTACATCAAACGACAGAATGCATTCACCTGGGTTTACCATAAGAACTCAGACCATCTGTACTGCGATCCACTAAGGCGGTGTTTACGTAAAGGCTCAGAGAAGTTATTAGTCGACGATCAAACCAGTGGCAAAATGATTCTCATTGCTGCATCCACTGTGTGTACTTTCAGAAAGATATAAGCGTGTGCAATGTGAGGGTGATTCAGAATCAGGGATTTCGACTCCTTGGGACTTATGTGCTTCAGTCTAGTGAGCGTATTTACTTTTGGTTTCTTTACGAATGCGGTATCTCTGCGACTTATAGTAGAATTTTGCATCTTATGTAAAAAGCCTCCCACGACAGAGACAACGACACGAACAGAGGTCCAATGAGGAATTGCTGCAAAGGAAGTTCCATTCCCTCCAACCGGAAACATTGTTCACTCAAATCATGAAGTTAAACAGTTACTAAAAGCACTGTACCAGTATGTGGCTTTAGTTTTTTATATGAAAAATCGCCGAGATATGTGCCCTAACGCAGAACTGAACACATCTTGCATTGGCATACATATCTTACACGAAGGAAGCATACCTGTAACAGTCAAAGCTTGAACGCGCGAATAAATAAGCACCAAAATCTGTCAAGGGAATTGGAAACCAGCATGGTCAGAGCAATTTCGTTTGATTACTAAATGCATTTTCAACCGTGAAGTACGGGCTACACGTTAAATATCCACCAGGAAAAATAGTATCGTTAAGGAACCTCCTCAGTAACTCCGTCAGCCCTCCCTTCAGACTTTTTCTTTGAGCTGTTGGGTTAATCTGTTTTAGTTTGTTTTACCAGCTGTAATAAGGCAGAGTTTGTAAATAGGTGTATAGTGTATGGTCGTATTGAGGCAACGTTATTCCCTTCTTAACTTTTAAAATACTGGCACGTGTAATTCAAACAAAAATTAATTGTTTAATTGTTACTACCGAGCAATTCACGAAATGTTTGACAAACTAACCTTAGGTCAGAAAAACTACAAAATAACATCCATGACCGTTTAACCTGGTGCCCGATTCACCGCCTGTGTATAAACAATGCAACGTCTAAGTTTGCGCTTTTCGAGTTCAAAAGTAGTATTATAGCGCTAATTATTTATTAATCACATCGCATTATTATTCTGAAGTACCTCCTGGTGATTTCGTTTTTTATCCTTTTCTCGTGGGATATTCTGTAGGAAGAGGATTGTACAGCCTAACAAAAACAGTGCAGTTATATCAGTATATTTCGGTATTAGTTGATGCCTGATAATCCTAGATAGAACTGTTGAAACTCTATCGTTCATCCGTAAATCCTTGCGCATAGTTGCCATATGGATTGCCAAACTGTTTTTCCCGCTATATTGGTACAAGACGCCAAGCGCAAATAAACAGATGAGACAATCAGTAAATAAATAGTAAGTACCATTTTGAAGCAAACAAGCAAAAGAAACCATCACCAGGGAGATGCCGTCAATATCCGCTGTCAAAACGTTTGCATACGTTGTCCAAATATGTTATACCTATGGAGCACAATCACTAAACAGAAAGACTAAAAACGGAACGGGCAGAACAATAACACTTTTTTCTTAAAATCATCGTTGATGTTGTGTCTCACTGTTCTGCATTTTTTATTTTAGAACTGACCCTAGAAGCTAAAAACAACTACTCTGAGATCTGCTCTGGTATAAACAGAATAATAAGCTTTTCAATTTTCAGCAGCAGGTGCAACCCTTATTTTTAGCGGAATCAAAAAAACTGGCCAGCACTTTCCATTTCGATCCTGACTAAAATAGGGCATTCGACGCCGAAAGATATCCGGAAAGCGCATTTTAAGAAGTAACATGTTATGGAAAATCTTTTGATTTATCTTACGCACGCTCCTTCGTGACATTTTGGTGGACGTTCATGTTCTAAAACCACGGCCCAATCAGACAGCTGCATAAGGAAGAATTCGTAAAACCTCGTTAGCCAGGTATATGCTTTCAAGTACAATCTTCTTTTGAATGTCTTGGTAAGCACGTAGCGTATCATCCCTATTAATGGTCAATCTTCTCATGTCAGTGAAAATTGTAAAGGTTTAATCATCATTATAAAACCACCTGACCCTCATCGTAATCAAGATCTCAAAATAATTATTGAGAAATATGGCGGAAGGGAATGTACGTCATTGTTAAAAGGGCTCTTTTTATGATTGTATCTGACAAATTAATCTTTATTTTTTGGTCGCTGACAGGTATGTAAGTACGTGAGGTAAACACATGTTCCATACGTTCCAATTGGAAAAAGCAAGCGAATATTTGGGGGCCCTATTCCAACGTACGAACGCAAGAAACAGCGAGCAGTTCTTGTGAAACTGGGTTGGAATATATACTCAAAATGCGGGCGCGCAATATGGAAGGATGTGTATCCGATCTTATCAAACGATTATTTTACAACTTGATTCTACTTCTGCTGCGTAATTTCCCCGGTCTATTTGAATTAATTAGCTTTCTGTACATTTAGAGTTTAAGTTTACTTAGTTCGCCTCATTTTCCTTTTTTCGTAGTTTCCCCTATTGCTGAAAACCCGGTATCTCTGAACAACGAAGTATACACTAATAAATCACAATTGGCCGTATTTGCAGAACTGCCGCCACCTGCAGTGTGTTTGCGTAACTAGGAGTATCTAATAAAAATAATTGGATAGCATAAGTAAGCTTACGTACTGTACAGATGATAGAACCTGCATTGGAATAGCCAATAGAATGAAATTGCCTCTGAATTTAAAAAAAAAGTAATAACAACCTTCATCGCTCTGCCGACATTTTAACAAACTTTGTGGTAGAAGTTCTTCGATGCATTTGATCACTGCGGTTGAGTTCTCTGTGATGCGAATTATGCTAGGACCGAGATGCCTCGAAACAATTGTTTTGATTAGTCCGCCCCATGCTTGTAGGATCCATCCGTTTCGATTTAGGGAAAGCGAATGCTGTTGTACCGAGGAGGCAGAATAGGCTGACCATAATTTATGCTAATTTATATTTTAATGTAACAGAGATACACCTTTTTGGAGAAAAAATTAAGACAAATCACTTTTAAGAGGTGGTAACCACCCTCTGCAGCAGTCTTCGTCTGACTGGCGTAGTCTGCTGCTTGCTGGCAGCTAGGGTTTTTCCTTGTTTGGTAGGCCGTTAACGGAAGCGTTGGCTGCAGATACTGACAGGTCAGGTCCTGTTGTGTCATTCGAACTGATACCTGGATAGTCATCATCTGCAAGATCTTCTTCAAAGTCTTCAAAGTCTTCTTCAAAGTCTTCAGGGTCTTCTTCAGAGTCATCTGCATATGTCATGTTAACTGGAGGTGTTTTGGGAGGAGTCCGAGCCCCTTCTCTAGATTGTTCTACCGAGGTCGATTTTCTTCCCCAAAAGCAGGTATGACTTTCTAAAAGGGACTCGTCGAGGTTTGTTAGAAGCCTATTGCAAATAAATAGAGCAGTGCTTCTATCCAAACGAATGTAATGAATATTTTACTGCTTTAGCCAATTGTCGCTGTATCCTACGTTTTAGACCTTGATCAATGAAGTAAGCCAGATTGGTGTCAAAACATGTCTGCTTTCTATTACAGTTTGCTTCTTTTTAAGGTTTTTCGGGTCATAAAACAAGGCCTTATAATGGAAATGTTAAATTCTCACCTTGAACGGAGCTGAGCAGCGCCATAGCAAAGAAGAGAAATAGAAGAGGAGTCATTTTGCATGACCCATGCTCTGACATGCCTCTTTATATATTGTTGCATAGATCAATGTAACTATCAGTTTATGCGACTATTTGCGTACATCGAAACTGACTGTAGTTCCGGATTGTCTCCAAGTACATGTCAAAGGGGGCGATTAGATGTTATTTCAAGTATGTGGGAGCCAAAAATCAGAATGTATAACAAAAAAGATTTCATTTTCAACCAGAAACATTGTTCGCTCACAGCTTGAATTGAAACAGTTGCTAAAAGCGCTGTACCAGCATGTGGCTTTACCTCTTTGTGTGAATAATCGTTCGCCATAGCTGCCTTAACAGAGGACTGAACGCAACTTGCAAAATATCTTCCACGCAGGAAGCAAACCTGTAACAACCAAAGCTTAAACGCGCAAAAAAATGTGCACAAACCTAT